ATATACTGTAAATTTTGGACAATAAATATTGAAATACACATAATAGTAATATTACAATATAATATTACAATATATCAATTCTTTTCGCTCGTATAATTTACAACAAGTTAATAAATAGTAAAAATTAGGTCAATATATTAAATGATCTATAGTTAGATGTACTAAATAATATTTATTAATTACATAACAAATTGTAATTTTCCGACGATAAGTTTCAATAGTACGTTTCGACTATATCTCTATTAACGACTTAATCCTCATTAATCGCAGAAATATATATTCAATATATATAACAAATAAATACTCAAATATCTAATTATATTAATATTTGTATTAACAATTATATTAACTTTATATACAAACTAGAGAGTAGAGAATTTCAAGTTTGAATATTTATTTCACATTTAGTATTAAATTAATTATCAGTTAATATAATTTTAAAATCTAATAACTTATTTTTTAGCATTATACAAAAAAAAGTAACAAAAAAGTAACGTTATTTTTCAAGTAATGGTAACGGTAACGAGTTACTTTTTAAAATTGGTAAAAAATGAGTGACGATAAGGAATTACTTTTTTCAAAAAGTAACGGTAATGGTAACGCGTTACTTTTTTTGAAGTACAACTTTATAAATATTCATAAATATATATAATCATACACAAAATATGTTCATACATGTTCATACATCTCTTTTGCTTTTGTAAAATTACTTTTTAATGTATAGAAATATTGTAATAATAGTAATATAAAAATAATTAAAGGGATAATTTTTGCATTGTTAATTTCAGAAAAAAACAATTTTGGAAAAATGTAAAAAATTACTCATACATAACTATGCATAATTTTAGACATAATTATACATACGTAATTTTTTTACATTTCTTCAAACTTGATTTTTTTCTAAAACAAATAGTAAATGAAAATTACCTTTTTAATTATTTTTAACATTTTTAATATTTTTACGTTACTATTATTATTTCTATTACACTAAAAAGTAATTTTACAAAAGAAAGAGAGATGTATGAACATATTTCATGATTATACATGTTCATGAATATTTATGTATGTTTATTCATACATATTCATGCATGAAAAATTTTTTTTACTGGGAGTACAATGTAAAATTATAAACGTAGAAATTAGGCAATATAATTCGCTAATTTTAAATACTTATAATTCAACAAATTATAGCCTCGATATTTTGGTATTGGAACTTTTCATCTCAAAATGACTTCAGGAAACTTAAACGTTGTTCGTCTTTATTGGATACTTTATTTTGTATATACATATATACATACACCTTGATAAAAAAAATTCTTAAAATACATTTGTAAGAACTTTTCGTATTAGAAAGATTTCGAAAAATATCTTAAATTTATTTAGATTTTATAAGTTTTTTCGAAAATTGTAGAATGTTTTATATGTACATAAAGCCTGGCTGCACCAACGTTACTTTAATTTTAAGAGAGGCTTAAAACTCTCTTTGTTCCTGTCTCTTTTTGATTTTAAAATGAAATAGAGAAAGTTTTAAGTTTCTGGGCCTAGTTGACATATATATAAATATAAAGAATTCTAGAAAAGATGCAAACTTTCTCAGTCTTTCTGAAAAATGTTCTAATTTGTATAAAAAATTGGAGAAATTTTTAAAAAGTTATAAAATTATACAGAAATTCTGAAAAATTAATACATATAAGGAATTTTAAGAAAATTTTGTTATATACAAGGTGTCATTAAAATATAACATCACCCATCCTGAGAAGGTAGAGTGGATTGAATCGACAAGTCCTTTACCATTTTGCGATTTTCGCAAATAATTAACAAGATATTACTAAAAATCGCTTAAATATTGGTTTTCAATAATTTTTTACTCAAATACTATCAACTTTACAGAACAACAAGAGATAAAAATGGTTTATTTTCTTCTTACAAAGTTCTGAAGAGAATTTTTTCAGAATGTTTTCAGAATTTTTTAATACCGTATTTTCTCATGATAGTAAAAATAAGAAAATACAGTATTAAAAAGTTGATTAAAAAATTCTGAAAAAATTCTTAAAGTTCTATGAGAAGAAAATGATTTATGTCTCTTGCAATTTTTCTGTAAACTTGATAGTATTTGAGTAAAAAATTATTGAAAACCAATATTTAGCGATTTTTAATAATTAATATCTCGTTAATCATTGCGAAAATTGCAAAATAGAGGACTTTTTGACTTATAATTAGTTTAGTCCACTCTACCTGCTCAGGATGGGTAGTAATTTGATATATACATATATATTAAATATCAATGTATTAAAGTTGAATTAAGAATGAAATTCTCACGGTAAGTTGATTGAAATTATTTCAGAAATTAAGATATATATACAATAATTTTTATAGAGCAAGAATAATATCAAAAGTAGTGTTCATATTTATTTTAATTGCTAATGCAAATTAGAATTCAACCCATACAGCACAGAACATTGAAAGAATGTTGCTGAGATGTTGCAAATGTTAAATATTGAAGTGTCAATGTATTATCAATGTTGTATTTATATTGATTCTTCTACATTGATTATTAATGTTGCTGCAATGTTGAAACGACATTGAAATTATATATCGAAACCTATTTTATTTTGTAAAAAATAAAATGT